AAGCCAATTTTTCTTTTAATATTCATTTTGCTTTCAAGAACACCATTTGTGCTCATTTGTAATTATTTTTTAGTGTTCTTTTCTTGTTCTAGAATTGTGCAAACAATCTACCTTGTGAGGATTTCCTTGTAAGTTTGAAAATTTGTAATCTTCTCTTTGGGAAGGAGTGTTCTCAAGAATTGGAGTATATTCTTGAGGGTGTTGTAAGGTTATCTCTTTGGCCTCAAAATAAAGAACAAATTAGTGAATTTGTTGGAAAATCCTTAGTGTGGCTAGCTAAGGTAGTGGACGTAGACTTTGATTGAGAAAGTCGAACCACTCTAAATCGCTGTGCAATTACTTTTAATTTTCTGCAAAAACTTCCACCAAATTTTTAATTGCCAATTCACCCCCCCTCTTGGCCAATTCCGTCAATCGATTAACTCAACATCCTTTTAAGAGAACCTTTGTGTTCAAGAAATTCTTGGACAAGATATTCATATATGTTGCAGTTCTTTTTCAATTTGGTGACCCCTGTTATCCACTCTTCTGGGGTGTTTCCTATGCCAGCATTTTGAAAGTCTTGACTGATCTTCTGGAAATCTTCATGCATGGTTTCCACTTCTATGCTCAATTTCTTGTTTTGGTCCTTCAAATAACATGCTTGAGTTTCATAAAAACCTCCTTTATTATGAATGTCCCGATTGATGCTCTTACCGTAGACTGCTTTTGGTATCAATCTGGCAGGATCTTTGTGTGCATAGCTCGCTTCTATCCTTGGAGTTTCCTCAGGATGTCTTTCCTTGGCTGCATCATATTTTGTTTGATCATAAAAATTTTTGTCCATTTATGAATTCTTTCTAATTTGATGAGCAGTCTTTCAAGTCAACACCTTTTGGTTATGCTATGATCATGCAATGCAAACAAAAGAAATCAATATAAACAAGTTAGAGCAAACAACATGTATGAAAAAATAAAAATGAGAAATGAAAAAAATAAATTGGTTAGTACCAGTTAATGGAAAGAAAAAATTCTATCAAAGTATAAATCCTAATCTCATGCTTTCTAATTCCATGCTTTGTTTGGAAAAATTAACCTAACTGCATGATTTCTAATTCGCATGCATTTATTCAGAAAAAGAAAATAAAATTAAAAATTAAAAACTAGAGCTTATTTCTCCTTTGTGTACACCTACGGACAGAGGTTCAGTATTGTCTTAGATCGGGTGAATTTCTAGTGTTTATTATCTATATGGTTTCAGTTCTAGGAGTAAAGGTACTCGAACTGTCCTTGTCGGTGCCCCCTTAAGCTGCCAAACCCTCAATCCTAGTCCATCACAGACTTAAATGGATTGAGTTCAATTCGAGGGGACACATTTCTCTATGACTGACACGGAGAATAAATTCTCACGAAGACATAGAGCATATGAACCCCGAAAGCTACTTGCTAGGTCTGACACAGAGAATAAATTCTCACAAAGACGTCGCTTTCACTCCCACTTAAAAGGGACAAGCTTGATTATAAAGCTTATGTTATACAATGCAAGTATTGTGTGTGAGGAGAAATATTCAAACCTTTGACAAACAAATGAAATTTAATATCTAAAAATAAAAATAAAATAAAAACAGTAATAAAGACGTATATATAACATATTATGAAAATAATAAGTATATAAAAAATTTGAAAGGAAAGAATTATAAATTAAATATATGAATTTTTAATTTCTAATTAATAGAGACAATTTATAATTGATTTTAAAGCTTGACCAATTCCCCAACGGAGTCGCCAAGCTGTCGTAACCGGTTTTCGCCCGGGTACAAAATTTTTACTTGGTGGGAAAGGTGATGTGAATAAATGGTTTTTAAAATGTTTAAGGAGTCGTCGTCGGCCTTTTGAGTTAGGTAGGTCAAATACCTAAAAATTATCTTTTAAAAGAGTTTTTAAGAAAACATCAGTTAAAAGATAAACTAATCTGCGTTTTAACCAAAAATTCGTTCTTTTTAATAATAAAAAGGGACTCGTGGTCGATTACATTTGGGGAAGGATTAGCACCCCCACAACGCCCAAAATTGGTACTCATTAATTATAAATTGTCTCTATTATTAGAAATTTAAAAATTCGAAGATATATTTAATTCATAATCCTGTTATTTCAAATTTATTAATATAATTTTTAAAAAAAATATTAATATATTTATTTATTTATTTATTTATTTATTTATTTTTATAAATAAGATATTTATTTACTTAGAAATATCAGAAAATGACTTCTAGGTGCTTTAAGACAACTCATTTCTTAATATTAAAAAATAAATAAATATTAATAAAACATTTCTATAAAAATAATTAAAATAAATTAGTATAATTAATTTATAAAAATAGAATATTTATTTATTTAAGAATATCATAAAAGAACTTCTAGGTGCTTTAAGAAAGTCCATTTCTTAATATTAAAAATTAAATAAATATTAAAATATGATTAGTTTTCTTAAAAGTAATTTATATAAAATTAAATTTATAAATAGGATTTTAATATATATATATAATATATAAAAATAAGTAAATAAATATTATTTATTATTTATTATTTATCTGACTACATAATAATAATAATAATAACAATAATAATTAAAGTAAAATACTAATTTAAATATATCAAAAGTAATAATAAAATAATATTGTAAATAAATAATTATCAAAATAAAAGAAATTAAAATTATAAAATTAAATTACAAAATATATAAAACTTATGGTCAAAATTATAAAGAAGTCAGTTACTAAATTATAAAATATAAACAATTAATGGACATATTTATAAATATCATTTGATATACACATTAAGAATGTAATTTAGCCCTAAATTTTAATAAGGAATTAAAATAAAATTAATTAAAATTATAAGGGACTAAATAGATATTTAACCTAATCATATAAACATATATATTAGGGACTAAAATATAATAAAATAAGATTTATGAGACCAAATTAAAAGATTCATAATTCGATTTCAGTGACTAAAATGGGATGATTACAAACTATAAGGTATTGCGGACATAATTGGACCGACCCTTAAATTATGCAAATACCCTTCATCAAAACGACGTTGTTTTGATGAAGGTATATAAGTCCTATAACCGGTCTTAAAGAGACCAAACCTTATCATTTTATTTTTTGCCTCTTTAAAGAGAAGCTCTCGTTTCCTCTGGTTTTCCCTCGCCGGAGGGAGTCGGCCACCTGCCGGCAACCGTGTTCCGGCTCTAATCCCCGCCGCACGGTGGCCGAAATTTACAAATTTACCCCAAAATAAAGCCCCGTTATCCTAAACCTAGATCATAGGTTGTTTTAGTCTAAAACAATACCCAACAACGTAGATCTAATTTATTTTACCTTAGACGTTTTGTTTCCGGCAGCGGGTGAAGGCTACAGTGAGTCTCTTTTTCTTCTTCTTTTTTTTTCATTTGTTGTTTGGTGGTTATTTGCTCTCGGTTTGGTGTTAGCTTTTGTTGTGTATGTTTCTCGCCGTTCTTCTCTGTTGGTTCTGTCTCGCTCTTTTTTTTTTGCAGATTCGGTGATGGCTTTATAGGCCACCACCAATGCTTGTCTCGGACCGTGTAAAAGGGTGGCAGTTTGGTGAGTCACCAAACTATAGTGGTGACTCACCATAGCCCTCAACGTGGACGGCATTCCTTGTTTCTTCTAGAGGCTCGTTAAAGCGTGGCAATGGCTGGTGGAGGTGTCAGAGAGGCGGCCGGCGTCGTGGCACTAGGGTGATGATACCCTAGGGTTTCATCTGAAAGGTTGTGGGCCGTTGGATCAAGCCAGATCCAACGGTGGAAAAGGAGCGACGGCTGGGTGAAGATGTTGAAACCCTAGTTGGGTTTAGGGTTTCCTGTGGGTTTGGGCCAGTCTATTTGGGCCAGAAATGTAATAATAATATTTTTTATTAATAATAATAATAATAATAATAAATAATATTATAATATTAATAATAATAAAAGCAAATGGATGAAAAAAATTAGTATCTTCACAAAGATCTCACTTCACTCATAAATTTAAAGATATGAAGTGTCTAAACATGTCTGATCTCACGTTCTTTTGTATATCTTACCAACAACAATCTCAATCGAACGAAACTCAAATAAATTTTCTCGTAATTATTTAAGAGTTAATAATCTTGTTAAGAAATTTTAAGGTGTTAAAACAGTGTTTTAGTATTGTATTAATTTAAAATTTTATAACTCAATCTTATCATTTAGGGGACAAGTTAATATATGTTTATAATTTTTCTAATCTATTGACAACGCACACATCCTACATATCCATTTAATTAAATTCAAAACCTATAGAGGGAATAACATTTTTTTGTCACATAAGTCACTCAATGATTCCTTTGCACGTCTTTGATTATACTAGAGAGTTTCTTTTGTATTTTTAATATTAGAGTTTATGATTGTTTTTTCAATAATATTTACGTATAAAATTAAACCAGAATTCTCTGCTTGAAATTTTAAATTATCACATATTTTATGATACGAAAAACGTTGGCACAATGTTGAATCTTAATCGTCTTGCAAACTAAAGAAACTTTTATTTGAATTATTCAAAAGCTGAGTGTTTAGTAAAAGCTGCTTTCGCTTATTCACATTTGCTTATGGGTAAGATTTGTTCTTCGTAACATGAACTAAACGATATTAATAATTAAGAGATTGTTGTTATTCTTTGAGGTATTGAATTTGAGCACCGCATATATAAGGGTATAAGATTCTTTGAACAAATATTAGTTTGTAATCACTCAGATTTAGGTGGCAAAGTAGAAGAAGACTAGTGAGCTTAACCAAAAACACATGTAGCAAAATTTGCAGGCATTGACAGAAACACTGCAGCCAGCAAAAATGTTTTATTTCTTTTTCAACACATTAGTACGTAATTAGTGTTTTATTCTATTTATATCATATTGGATAATATAAATTAAGTAGCAGTCGAAGTTCACTAGTAGTAGACCATTCAAAGAAAAAAAAATTCAAGAGTTGCATAGGGGATCCTTCCAAGCTCTTTGATCCGGTAACTGCCACCACCATAATTGCAAACCATCCTGCATAAAAGAAACGAAAGGTAATCCGAACACAACATTTGACTGTAGCCTGTAGGGGCGAATATTCGTTCGAGTCGAGACGAGTTAAAATAACTATTGGCATTGTTGCTGCTTTTTTTGAGGAACTTACAGTGTGGTTTAATCTTCCATATCTGGTTATTTCCTGTCTTCCAGCCCCAGAGCACAATCCTATTGCCATCACAGACTTCGGGGCTATCACGAAGGTCTGCATCCATGTTGAGGTGAATGTTATCAACCGCTCTTATGGCTTTATACCCTTCATCCTCGATCACCTTGCTCTCGCTCCAGATTAATGTTGTATTACATTCATTTGGCTTGTAACGTGCCAGTTCCACCTGCACTCGATAAATCTTTTTTTCAACACAAACTTGAAGGTGAAATTTTCAGAATGATATACGAAAATAAAATGGATTCATACAGGCTGAGCCTCTCCATTGTTATGTTTGAGTGCTTCACCAGTAGCCAGATTAATCAGAGAAAAGCCCGGGTGACCTTCGTCATCTCTCACGTTTGCCCCGAACTTATCATCCTTGATCCAGTGCTGAAACATCAAATTATTCGCAAACTTTTAATCGAACGTTCTACTCATTTACAATGGTAGTTGTTGGATAAATACCTGGCGCTCATCAGAGGGATCAGCTCTAGCCAGAACAACCCTACCATCTCTAATGGCAAGGTTTAACCTTGGATTAGCTTTGCAGTAGATTTTGAAAGTGGGATGGTTGGAGGTTCTGGTAGGTGAACGTGAATCAGGACGAGAGAAATGGTGAGTTTTAGATGAGGGACGGGAACGACCATGACCACGATCATCGTCGTTGTCATCATCAGACCTTCTTTCACCACCTCTGCGGCCTTCATGTTTACCGTGTCCTCCGGTCGAGTAGTGTGAACCGTGTTCATTTGGCGGGTAGTCACCACCACCATGCTGGTACGGCTGCGCATCCTCGTATTCTTCATCCACGGATCCTGATTTCGTCTTGGAAGAAGGTGACTCGTCTTTGACCCTGCGTCGTTTTTCATCGACAAAATCATCTTCATTTTTGCGACCGAAAAAATAATCCATATGTTCGGTACTATCAAATTGCTTCGCCTCTTCAATTTGTGATACAAACAACAAGAAGCTGATCATAATTCCTTTTGTAGTGTAACCATACACTCAAACACTCATATATATAACTTGCAATTTCTTTGTCAAAGTTATGATTTTGAATGCATGATTTTAGAAAATCATACCTTAATTTAGTTAATTTGTTATCTTACATAAACTTGTTTTGTTCTAAAGGTGACACGTTACTATTAAATTCCGAAGTTTAAAATTTAAAATTAAATGAATAGTTGACATGTTAAAATTATGTCTTTAAAATTATATTATATTAAATTCCGAATTTAATTTAATTTAAGCATAATTTTTAAGTTACCATTATAACCAACGCATATGGTATGACATATAATATTCGATCAGAATGATCCAACATGGATATCATATATCATATTAATCAACGAAGTGACCCAAAATAAAATATATGATTTTATATTTTCTTTTATTAATTAAATTAATTATCATACATACAAAAGTATTTAAAACATACAACTTAATGGGCAAACAATACTAAGCCGTGTTTTCAAATTATGTCGAGCAAGTAAACATAATTATAGGGGTCATTTAGTAATTTCATACAATTATATGATTCATACTTAAAATTAAATCTAAACATATTAATCATCTTGTACATACTCATACAAGCTAATCGGATTTCAAAATCTTCTTTAATTTAACTTTTATTAAGGACGTAATTGTAAAGTTCTAAATTTCTGGTTTAATAATAAAACTAAAGCCAATACAAACATGTCATTAAAATTTCAGTTTAATTTAAGTTAAGATCCACTTACAAAATTTGAGGAGTACTATTTTATAAAATATTACTTATTTAAGTGTCATAAAAAAATTAATTTTTGAGACTTTTAAAAGCAGCATGAATTAAAATCCGAGAGATTTATCCTTTTTCTTCAAGGGTTGATGCTTCGGATAAAGGGATCAATCCTTCTCATTACAGTAATTAAGGGATTGATCATTTTTCCAAAGGAATAGATCCTTCTTCTTCTTCTTTTGTATTGTTTGGAAAACATCAAATTTTATTTTGATAATGCTTAATTCAGCTAGAAATTTAAATCCTAATTGTATATATAGTAATTAAAACACATGAATCTACTTATAACATTAAAAATGTGCCAACACACAATATAATCATGTTTTATAACATTCAATTCACAATTGATCATGCATTGTCAATAAATATTTAATTATGTATTTTAAGTCACTTTTCATGGTCTCCTAAAATCATTTTAGATAATTTAGGCCAATTGAGGTGAATTTCTAATACAACCAAGGTTAACTTACCTCAGATTTCAATCATACAATGCATCCATTCGTTTTATCCTTTTTTATATGACAAATTACTCAAATCAATGATTTATTGGTGAATTGTTCAACTTAAGCATAATTAGACTTGTTTATAAATAGGATAAATAAATCTCCCTTTTAACTCTCATTTTTATGGACTCATACAGTGAAGCTCAATCTCATATTGTTTTGCATAAGCAAGGATTAAATATTGGTAGAGATCGATGTTGAGACCGTCGGCGCATCCCATGGCGTAGCGGGAACAAAAGTCGACGGTCTCAGCAGCGATCCAAGTACGAAAAACTGAAATCGGGAGGAAGGGATGCGAATACTTACAGCAGGTTCCTTGAAAAACAACAAGAACAACAGTGAATATTGGTGGTGTAGATCGGTTCGAATCGTAAGCCTCCACGAAATCACGTCTCGGCTTCTACTCAGTTCACCCGATTGAGAACAATAATTTTCTTACCAAAACTGTTTTGAGAGAAAAACGGCTGAAGGTTTTGTGTGTGTATTCTATTTTGGCTGCTAGACCTAATACACCCTTTTATAGCCAAGTTACCCTAATCATATTAGGGTTTTATTATTTCAAATTAATTAAATCTATATTTAATTAATTGGAATTTAATAATCCTTTTATATCCAAGTTACCCTAATCATATTAGGGATTTTATTATTTCAAATTAATTAAATCTATATTTAATTAATTGAAATTAAATATTCGGGATTATTAAAACATATATTTAATTCACTCTAGATATATATTTTAGTAACGCACAACAAATTGTACATCTTTGCTCGTTTCAATCATAGGGTGTGACCCTGTATGTTCTTGTAACGTTAGCAGTAATTATTAGACCAATTATAATATTACATACAATGAGTGACATCTAGCAATATATCATTGTCACCTAAGTTACAAGAAAATATGATTCAACATATCATCTTGGTGATTAACTCTTTTATGTATTACATACTTATGTCCTTTATATCTAGAATAGGCACAAGTCTTGGAATACTCATACTTGTATAGCCCATCTATTGTTTCTTGATATCTAGAGTAGACTTTAATTAACGAATAGTTTATGATATCTCATATCAACTTATTCGAGCATGGCCATGCGTTTCTAGTCTTACTCAATCAAGTGGCCTGTGATATATTTCCTATTATGTAGGAAAGACAAATCATATCTTAATCATACACACCCACTACATATATTGAGATATATTCAATAACAGTCTTTATAGAGCAACCAGTTGCGAAGTTTGTTTAGTTGCATCAAAACATACAACAATATATGTTGGGATTGTATTGATCTCAAGTATAAGGATCATACATATAGTCATCACTATTAGCAATGTTATGACTATCACATAATAATCCAAGACATATGCTCATGGTGGGTCAATCCAATATATTGTTGTCTAACAATATAATCATGTATCAATTTTGACATCTCTATGTCAATGACAACTCGTTGTCATCAATCAATAACATGTTAGTCTTAAGCGTATTATTATTGTCCATGCCTATAATAATACTTAACTAGGGATCTTTTAATAATAACAATTATGTCATTATATGGACTTTATTATCTTATAGTTTATGTTAAACACATATATATAACTGAAAATAATAGTGGCAATGCCTTTATTCAATAAAATCGGTAAATAAAAGTATTATTACAATCATTATATGATTGGTCTTTGGTATACTCTAACAATCGAAATATTAAACCTTTTAAGAAAAATACAATGTCTTGTTAGGTATTTAAACTCAAAATTCAAAAGATAATGCTTAATTTGTCTAATATTTAAACTTACAATGACCTAAATTGTTGTTAGACCAAAAATTTTGAGGACATGGGATTATCTTTCTTTTGTTTGATCCCTACTTGATTAAATATTTAATAAATTATTATATTTTTTTAATTTGAATACTTACTTTTACATGAACCAAAATATTATTAGACCAAAATCTATCAAGTATATAAATATTTTACTGGGGTCGGGACCCTTTTGGGCCCCGACAGAGCTCTGTCTCTACACACTACAATACACCACAACATATCCTAAAGAGTGGAGCTCAAGCAATATCACTCTCTCATTTTCTCTTCATATATCCCGAAGGTCTAAACACCTCGATTGAATTTTAAAGTAGTGACTGTATTCAATTCTAAGTCACTGAAAGTCTCAAAAAGAAAAATAGGTAAATATATCAATGTCATCCTATACAAATTCTGATTTGATGCACATCATTTTCATAATCATACATAAAATTTAGCTTTCATAATTGATTGTCATATACAATCCATATCATATTCACATAACATACTTTCTTGATCATGCATGTGCACCAGTGAGCGTCGATTTTTTTTTTTTGAAAAAAGGTATTTTGTATTATAATCCAAACAAAGTACACCACCTTAAGGGCCTCATTAAAAAACCTCCCTAACCCTAAATAGAGAAAAAGAGTGAACCTTGAGGTGGAAAGAATCTTATACAAGTATAGCTCTTACATCAAACAAAACATACCCCAAACCACAACCCTACTCATACTAACACCACAATAAGAACGAAACCCAGCTCAACATCAATCCAAGGTCGAAAAGGACAACTAAATTGATCTAAAGCAAAAACACAGCGGCAATGAAAGGTAACCAACTTGCAGTAGCTGCCAAAACAACCAGACCTACTAAAACACGACATTATAACACTACATAACACCAAAACTTCATCAATATTCAACCCAGCTCAACATCGATCCACTCCCCATATCATACTAACACCAATACAAACCAAGCATATGAATGGAATTATAACAAAATGGACAGCAATTTCGATATACCGCAAAAACACAGCACCAAATGGATTCATCATGCCAGCAACAAAAACCATATTCATCAAACATAAATAACCTCACCACATGGGTATAAACGAAGGCCAACAACAGTCTTTTGCACCAAACTTGGAATAAACATAGCAACAACACTGCACAACACCATCAAATCTCAAACTGCACGAAAAAGCCTCAGTAGAGCAAGTCCCTTTTCAAATAGGGATACAACGGACCTCAACCAGAAATAGGTACAGTGCAATTTTTAAAGATATAAAAACATGAAACTAAAGCAAAAACTATATTCTGCCTTAATTACGATTCATAGAGGAACTGATCCAATCAAGCGAACCCAACTAGGTAGATAAAACATGGCGTTACTCACACCCGACGCCAAGAATGATTGACTGAGGACAACGTAGAAAATCTTGGACTGCCGGAATCAACGTTAGACATAAAGCACTCGCCCAAACCCCAATCTAAATCAAACATGTATTAAAAATTTGATCAACAGAAAAAACATTACCCTTAAACCTAACTTTATTTTTGCACAACCAAATATTCCAAATTAGACCAAAAAAACCCAAATCCCATAACGCTCGAACTTTCTTTCTGATTTTCTATTGGATCCATACCTTAAGTAACCCTTTCACCTTCATAGGGAATACTAAGTGAACCTTCCATACACTACACCAGTATTGCCAAACTTTCCACACCACATCACAATGACACAAAATGTGATCTATTGTTTCCTTTTCATGATTGCAAAAAACACAAAGAGATTGAACATTGCAATGTATACCTCTCTTTTTCAGCTCTATGATGATCAGCAATCTTTGATGAATCGCTCTCCAAACAAACGCTGAAACTTTTGGAGGAGCGAATTTGTTCCACACATATTTT